TTGTTGTTGTTGGTTTCATTTGTTCATCATCATTTCGATGATGATGATGATGATGAATAACAACAATAACACGGTTAGATGATTTGAAAATAGTTATTCTTCATCTTGTCATCATCATCAATGAATTATGTTGTTGTTGTATCCAAATTTTCAACAACCGAAACAAAAAACAACAAATTTTTCATATTGAATGAAATTTTGTTGTTGTTTTTTTTTACAAATTTCATAAGATTTTGGTTCAATATATATATTTCGAAATGGATGAATGAATGAATATCGATCAAACGAAAAAATCCTCATGATTTTTTTGCGTTTGATTTCTATCTAATTTATCTTTCGCTTTTTGTGAGTGTGTGTCAAATTTGACTTTCCTTTACGTACAAAAAAAATCAAAAATGAAAACTTTTTTGAAAAAAACAAGTATTTTTTTTGTTGTTGTTGTCTTCATTTCATCACATCATTGATTGGTGAGCATATTGGATAGAAAAAAAAACTGTAAATACTCAACATATGTGTGTGTTTGAAGTTTCTTCACTGGTTTCGGTTTCTTAAACCACCAAAAAAAATAAAAACTAAAATTCATCGAAATTCTGTCTAAATACTTTGATGTTATTCTTGCATGTAAGTTTTTCATTCATTCATTCATTCATTCATTGATCTGATCGATAAATAAATGATAATATCATCGTTTTGAATGCTTGAATAAAGATGTTTGATTGATTCGATTAGTTTGTTTTTTTTTCACATTTTATTTTCATGAAAAAAAGAAACATAGCATAGCTTTTTCGAAATATACAAACAAATGTAATGAAATGCATGATGAATTCGAATCATTCGGATTCGATTCTATCAATGTGAATAAATTTTTTATAAGCACCAAACAGCAAGCAATCATCATCATCATCATCACCATCGATTGATGATAATTTCAATTGATGATGGTAATATATTGACATACACACATACATATATGATAAAATATTTCAATCATTTATATCATCATCATCATCATATAGATTTAAAGGAAAATAAGTTCATAAAATATTCATTCAGTTCAATAATATAAAAGTGATAATGATGAATGAATGAATCGATCGATTTTAACAAGTTGTTGTTCAATTCATTTTTTTTCATCATCATCATCATCATTGAGTATTCTTATTATTATTTTGTTTTTCATTATCGTTATTAATCCATTCATCTTATCATCAGATCTCTCTCTCTCTCCCTCCAATCGATATTTGATGATTATGAATAATTGAATAACATCATCGAGTATGTTACAAAGATGTTTTGATCTGTTTGATTATTATTGTTTTTTGGTTTATTTGATCTTCAACAAGAAAAAAAAATGTTTCACTGTAAATGTTTACTGATTTTCCAATATCAGAATATCTAGAATTGAAGATTGATGAAATACAGAATGAAATGAGAACAAGAAAAATTGTTTTTACGTTTATTTTCTCCATCTATTTCTTCTTGTTTTTTTCATTTCATTTCTCTGTACATTTTATAATGATGATGATGATGATCATCATCATCATCACTTTATTAGTGATAGTAAATTAACGAAAGAAAGATATTTATTTTTCTCTCAAAAGCTAGACAAGATTCTAAATTCTTTTTCGTTCCTGGACCAAAAAATTCCAACATTTTTCTGTTTCTCTGTTGTTCATTATTTGTTATAAAAGCTTATAGATAGAAATAAATAAGAAATTCTTGTCCGTTATAATCATTTTTATCAGATTTTTTTGTTGTTGTTGTTGTTGTTGTTCCACTTTATTATTAGCTAATAATATTTTTTTTCCAAATTCTTACATCATAATATCGATATCCAGATTGATTCTATCTATTTCAAAAAATGATAGAGTATAGAAATACCAACAACAACAACAACAATAAAAAAAATGAAAACTATTAGGACAGCTAATGATCATCCCATGAGAGAATATCATCATCATAGAGAATAAAATCAAGAAAAAGATGCTTATAATCATCATTAGATATTGGATATTGGAGTACTTTTTTTTTGTCCAATCTTTTTCCAACATTCACATTATTATTATATCGATTTATAGTTGACTATTTTTTTTCATTACTTTTTCTGATTATAAATATTTTCTATTCAAAGATTTAAAGATTTTATTAGACAGATTGATTGATTGATTGATTGATTGGAAATTGTTACATAGTTTGTATCGATATTCTGAATTCTCTATTAATTTCCTTTTTTTACTTTATATATTAACAACATTATGAAACATTCTTTATATGCTAAAGGCAAAATTTTGAACAGAAGAAACAAAAAAGTATATCATTTTGGGTTTTGTTTGTTTGCTTGTTTCATTCTATGATTTAGAATTTGAATCTGAATCTAATCGATTTTTATTATTATTATTATTGGTTGACTGGTATTATTCGTTGTTGTTATAACAAATTTACAATTTATTTTTATTCAAATGACAATAGTTTGTGTGTGTGTGTGTGTGATGATAGATGTTTGTCAATAGTTTTTTCGATCAATATTTTTATTTTGGTGCATATTTAATCAAGAAGAAGAAGAAGAAAATCACAGTTCATTTCAATATATTCACATTATGCATTTGTTACATTTTTGTCGTTGTTGTGATGGATATACAAGAAAGAAAGAAAAATAATAATACAATCTATAGATTTATTTCGATAGAAAAAAAAATCTAGTTTACTTTTACTTTTTTTTATTATTTGATTTGATTTTCTATTATTGGACCCTTATGAAACAGAAATGAATATATCTTCTTCTTCTTCTTTTGCCCAATCCAAATAGGAAGTGTGTCTATATCTTTGACAAAGTGTTTTTTTTTCTATTTGTCTATTCGGGTCGGTTGTATAAAAAAATTTGTTATTGTTGCTGAATAACCATTGATACAAATAGATGCAGAAGTTTTTTCCCCTCTCAACATATACATCTTTGTGTTATTTGAAAAACGAAATAATTTATTCATCATCATCATTATCACTGTTGATACATATCAATGTAATTCATGTATCTTTTTAGAAATTTTTTTTTTTTGACTTCCATATGATCACCTACCGAAAAAAAGAAAGAAAAAGAATCCAAATATCAAATAATTCTCGATTCATGAATGATGATGATGATGATGGAATTCGTGAGTAAACAATTCTGTCTCTCTTTCACTTTTATTCTCGATCAAATATTTTTTTTATTCATTCATTCATTCATTCTGTTGATATTTCCATTCAATGCCTTCTATTTTGGAATAATAATGATAATGAATATAAAATGAATGAATGAATGAATGAATAAATATTTTGTCTACAGAATGGTTTAAAACCTGTGTGTGTGTATGTATGTATGTTTCAATTGTATTTTGATGATGGAAAATAACATGATTTTGGGTGAAACAAAAGGGATAGAAAATGAAAATGAATAATAAAAAAACAATGAAAATTTGATAGATATGAATATGAATATGAAAATATTTTATGTTTTGTTTGAAAATTTAAATTTTGATTTCATTTTCTTTACCTTCATTCAATATACGTTGGTTGATTTATATTTGCATATTTTTGTTTTCTTTTTTGAAGGAAACAAAAAACATATTTCTTTTTTTTTTTGATCAACCTGTATATCTTGCGGGGTATTTTCTCTTTTCATTTTGAATGACAAAAACTTTTATTCGAACAAGCTGATGATGATGAACTTCAGGGGAAAAAAATTCTTTGGAAATTTTTTGTTTTGTTTTCAATAAATAAAAAACAAAACTTCAAATCCATCAATGCGGAAGGCGGTACAGTGAAACAACAACAAAATTACTATCGTTTACTTATAGGGCGTATTCTAGTCCATTTCAATTGATCATTGTTGTTGTTTTTTAATGACAATAACAGACAGAATTTTATTTATCTCTTCTATAATTCTAATAAACCATATTATTATTATTATGTAATAATAATCTAATGGAAAAAATGATTACTATTGTTGATTGAACTAAAGAGAGAAAGAAAGAAAATTGAATTGTATTCATTTAAAAGAAAAGAAAAGAAAAGAAAAGAAATTTAATTTTTGTTTTATCTTATCCAGAAAATTATCCTTGTAAATACTTTTAGTTAGGTTAGGTTAAAGTAAGTTTTTTTTTGTGTTTGTTTTACACATTTAATTTTTTGTTTGTTTGTTGCTTCTGTGCTTACCACCCCCAACCGTAAACATAATCGAATTTAACGAATCAAATAATTCGAACAACAACAACAACTGGCAATCATAATATTCAAACAACGGACCAAAAAATTTACGTTTTTTTTTTCTTTCTTTTTATCAGTTTAATTTATTATTATTATTTTTGTTTTTTTGTTTGTTCCGTGTATACTCTCTCCACATACGTACATAACAGTTTTTTTTACATTTAAATTCTGATCATCGCGTGTTTGTTTTTTATATATTCATATAATAATAGAGAATTGAAAATACATTCAGATTCAAATAAACAAACAAACAAACAAACAAACATTCGGTTTCACTGAAAAGGAAATATTGAGTTTTGTTAATTGAAAAAAAAATTATATATTGATATATGAAATATAAATGACCTTTATTATATTGGTGATAAAGAAAATCATAATTATTATTTGACCATTTTCACATTGAAAATTGTAAGTACATTTCGTTTTTTTTTCTTTTATCAAAACGAAAAAATTAATTAAAATATTTTCTCACACTGTTGTTTCTCGTTGTGTTTAAAAAGTTGTGTTTAAATTTCATCTAATCTTCTGTTGCCGAGTAGTTTCCTTTTCATAATCATTGTTTGTAATTAATTAGTTTATCCATTTATATGGTTTAAGAGTAATGAATTTTATTTCGAACAACAACAACAACAACAACAAAAAAAGTTTTCGTGAATTTTCTCTGGTTCTTTAATTTAATTTTAATTTCAATTTTTTACTTAAATTAATTTCAAATTCCTTTTCCGTTTTTTTATTCTCTTTTCTTCCAATAGATATTATTATTACAAGTCCTATTTCGATTCTTAGTCAAAGAAAAAAAAGCGGTGAAGAAAGAACAACGAAAAAAAATACGAAGAAGAAGAATAATTTTATTTATATTTTTTTTCGGGTAATTCGTATGAATTATGTCTGAAGACGATGTTTATGAAAGTTTTTGTACAATCAAAAACGACAATACCGACGACGACGACCAACAACAACAACAACATCATCTTTATAACGTTGATAAAAATAACAATAACAACATCTTAATTAATTTATCATCCGATCAAAATATTGATTCGATACGTAAAGATTCAATTAATCAACAGAAACGTTATCGATACGAAGATAATATTGAAAATTCAAAAATTTTAGATAAAAATATTTTAGATTCAAATAAAAATAGTAAAAATATTGAACAATTATTACGTAATTCTCGTACAAACAATTCATTATCATTATCATCATCATCATCTATTCCTGAACAAAAACAACAATCGATCAATTCAGATGGTGATGATGGCAATGGTGTTAATGATGTTGATGATGATAATGATCAAACCGATAATGACGATGATGATGATGATGATGATGATGATGGTCCAAAACGTAAACGTATCCGTAAAAATTTATTAAATACCAGTAGTAATAGTAATAATAATCATAATAACGATATAATCAACGTTGACGATAACAACAACAACAACAACAACGGAAAAAATAATAACGCCCAACAAAAATCAACATCAACAATATTAAAACAAGATAATAATCATAATAATAATAATAATAATCTTATTAATATGGAAGTTCGTTTTCTAGTTTCTAGTCGTGTAAGTTCCATTATCTTTCTTTTCTCATTTGTTTAATTATTATTACCTTTAGAGAGTTGTTAACTTTAAGTAAAATTGTAAAATAGTTAGATTTAGGTAGTAGTATCAGAATATAGAATCAAATGAATTTTTTTTTTTGACGTATTATATTCTAAATAATTCATTGTTCTTTCTCATTTCTCAATTCTATATTATTGTTGGGGCGGGCTATTTATTTGAATGGTCTCTTTTTTTTTGGTAAAAATGAATGGCTATTTAAAAAAACCCGATTATAGGATGCCGGTGCCATTATTGGTCGTGGTGGTTCCAACATAACTCATCTTCGACAAACTGTATGTATTCATTTGATTAAAAATTTAAATTTCATTCTTTTTTTTTCAAATGAAAAAATTGTTTATTATCATTTCCTTTTTTTGGATATATTCATCCTTGCTGTGATTTTTTTTTTAAATGAGAGAATATAACTTTCCTTAATAATTGAATCTTTGATCTGCTTGGCCGAAAAGAGTTATTATTTTATAATACTAATCTAATGTTGTAGAAAAATATTTCCTAAAACGTTTCTAATAATATTTCTAATTAATTTTTTTTTATTATAAAAACCAGTCAAAACTGATAGAAAATGTTTTTCTCTTTCTTTTTACTCTTTTTTTTTCCTTTTTTTCTATTCAATAATCGATTCCCAATTATATATTCAATCATTCACCAATGACCGATTTTGACCGTAAAAATAACCGTAATTTAAAAAAACCTATGACCGAACCTTGTTGATTCAAATGAATATGAATTGGCCGATGATCATTCGTCGACAACAAACCACACGACCAACGAACCACAAACCGGCAACCATCAACCATATATAAATTTTTAAAAATTAATCCATCAACCTGGTTAATATGTGTTATGAAATTTGTTATAATTTGGCTTCATCATTGGGCGTTATCATTACCAAATGACAAAACATGATTTAAATTTGATTGCTTTAATGGGACCGGTGTGTGTGCGTGTGTATGGGTTAATCGCATATTTAAACTTGAAATTTTTTGCTTCCTTTCTGTATTTCATTATTATACCAAACACCAATGAAACCATCACCAACCCGTTTGATTTGAAAACCCAAATTCAAACAAAAAAAAATCAATTATTATCAATGAATGAATCTTATAGTATGAATCATCAATAACCGTGCCCGATTGTCTTTCACCAGAACGGTATAGTTTGTTTTTAAAAAATTTTATTCATCACATTTTTCTATGTTTCGGAATTGTTGAGCTTATTATTTCCTTCCGAAATGAAATTAGTTTTAGTATCCGCTTATTCAATGATCTGTTTTTTTCCCGCTCACTAATACCACCAATCCTGCCATTGCTGCTACGCCTACCTTCACCTTACCCGACGGAAATTCTTTAGATTAATCAGATATTTTTTTGTTGTTGTTGCCTATTTATGTGTGGGTGTTGGTGTTAATGCGCGTGGGCGTATTTGTTACCTATTCTGGTTCTTTTGTCTAATCTTTATTTTTTCATTTTTTCCAAATTCTTTTGAATTGAAAATTTACAAAACAATATTAATAACCTACAAACATAACAAAAGAATATTAACGATCGTGGCCAACGTGGATAAAGTCATCAAAATTGTACGAGAAATATTGAAATTTATTGACTCAACAGCAGTATCATCTACTTCTGCTTCGATAACATCAAATTCTTCGGTTAGTAGTTTTTGTATTTTTTTCAAATTTCTATCATTTGTGAAAATATTCAAATCTCGTTTAGCGTTCAAGATTTCCGGCAAATAAAGCAACAAATAGAAACTCATCGATACCAGTTATTGGTAGTGATCAACGATCATCATCTCGAAATGGATCATCCGCATCAACAACTCAAACTACTAATAGTCTTTGTGAAATACGATTATTATTACATACATCACATGCGGGTGGATTAATTGGTAAAGGTGGTGCACGTATTACACAATTGCGAGAGGTATTTCATCTTTCTATCTGATAATATTTGATTTCTGTTTTATGCAATTTCATTCATTATATTGTCACTTTTTTTTACAAAAAAATCACAGGAAACTAAAGCTGGAATTAAAGTATATTCGGAATGCTGTCCACAAAGTACCGAACGTGTTTGCGCTGTAACTGGACCGATCGATATTGTTACAAATGCCTTAGGAATTATATTGAATCTGATTCGAACGTTTCCCATCAAAGGACCAAATCAATTATATAATCCTGCAAATTTTGATCCATTCATGTCGTTACGTTATGGTGGGTATGGTGAAACAGCTCCTGGACCGTTACAACATGGTCCATCACAACCGTCGATTCAACAACCACCTCCCCATCATGAACCAAGCCGAACAAATAGTATATTTACACCACCACCGATTCCACCACCACCCCCTGCACAATATCATCATCCAGCACCACCAATGCATCATCCACATCCGCATCCTCATCACGCTCATCCCCATACTCATCCTCATCATCATCCATTCTCGTCGCCATCAAATACCGGCAATCGTCATTTATCAACATTAACTAATGGACCACCACAATCTCAAACACATCCTCATCATCATTTAATGGATCATGGCCGTTCTCCATCCGATTTTGGAGCCACATCACCATCATTTTTGGCAGCCGCTGCTGCTGCAGCTCATCATCATCATCATTGGCCACAGGCAACAAATACAGGTCCACCACAAGTCAGCGGTAGCGGTGGTGGTCGAATGGCAACTATACGTGCGGCAGCAGCTGCCGCAGCAGCAGCAGCCGCGGCTGCTGCTGCTACTGGAAATTCTGGTCAACCGGATGTATTCGGTCCCACAAACGATGATCCATTCCGTTGGATTACAGGTGAGAAAAAGTTACTAAACTGAATTCGTTCTTTTGATTAAATATCATGGTTTATCGTTATGCATTTAGAAGCAAAACATTATGATACAAATCGTCTTCAGAATACTTTGATGAAACGTGATGATGTTTCATTCATCATTAATCCGAATGGTACAGCTATTTCAACGATCAAAGTTAATCATAAGGTACTATTGTTTTTAAATTTCAAAGTTCTGAATCTGAATTTTTGTTATGAAAAATTTAAGGTTGTTGGTGCAATAATTGGTCGTGGTGGTAATCGTATCAAAGAAATTCGTATTAAAACACAGGCCGATATTTCAATCGATCAAATGAAAAATAGTAGCGGTGGCAATCCATCATCATCTGCAGGCGGTAGTACACGTTCGATTACGGTCAAAGGATTATATAATGATGTTCAAGCAGCCGTATCCATGATATGTAACTGGTAAGTTTTACAAATTAATTTATCAATCAATGATGATTATAGATTGATTAATTGATTATGCATGAATTCACATCGAAAATTCGAATCGATCAATAATCGATTTGAAATAAAACGAATAAATATTTATGTCTCAGTTGATCTGGAAGACTAGTGATTTTGTTGTTCTCAAGTAGAACTTATGTAATCATCAATCCGAATGATGATTATATGGTTCTCGGTGCAAATTTACGGAATCATTCTATATTCTTTGCCAATATGGAAAAAAAGCCAGCATAAAAACATGTTTGTGTTTTATGCGCATTTAAAGTGAAGAAGATGAAGAATTCTGGGATTCATATATAGCATTTCTTAAACAAAGAGTAAACATAAAATCACTATCTTCTGATGAACTGATGAACTGAATCAACGGCGATGGAAAAAAAACTCAATATTTTGCATGCTCTGCTGAAATTTTTTTTAACGTTCATTAGAATTGAATTATTTTTAAAAATTCGTGATTTTTTTTTGATTTGATTTGATTTCATCAATCTAATTTTCTTCACGATTTTTTTTTCTAATTTTTATTACAGCATCGATGAGAATCAAAATATTTGATTATTCAACAACATCATCATCATCAACAAGTATTTCTAATTCAATCTAAATTTTCCATAAATTCATATTATAATGGTGGATCTCTCTACAATTTCAAAACACATATACACACATATACACTTTCATTTGGATCTGGTTCATGGCTCTCTCAATGGCTGGCAATCAAAAATTGAATATTCTCACTCGTTTTTTTCCAGTTTTCACACACACATCACTTTCATTGCAAAATTTATTTCAAAAAAAATTTTCAAAACACATCTTTCTTTTTCAATATTTGCCGGAAATTTTGCAAATATATTTTTTCCTTTTTTTTGTAATGTTTTGTTTTTATTTCTAGAGCCCAAAAATGCATCATGAATCGTCATCATCATCATCATCATGGGAGAAACTTTGATGAATATATAATAAATGATGATGATGAAAAGAGAGAAAACTAATATTAGGTTTGAATGAATTCTCGGGTAAAAGTTTTCACTGATTTCGAGTACTTATTTTCGGTATCATACGATGGATGATGAACGAACAACAAAAAAAAACTTTAAAAACTTCAAACTGAATTATTTGATGATGTTAAGGAAAGGCTGATGATGTTGATACGATTTGATGAAATCCACTTATCAAATAAAGTAAAACTAATATCAAAACAAACAAAAACAAAAAAACGATGAAAAATAATGACAACTATTGTAGCGAATTTTAGATTAAAATTTTTCTCGATATTTATGATGATCATCATAATTCTTTATTCATTATAATGATGATGTGGCCATTGTTTTATTCATTTGTTGTTATAAATGAAGTTCATGTAATGTTTTTGTTTTTCAATTTTTTTTTCTCTGAAAAACCGGCAAAATATCATTTCCTTTTCCATTTATATTTCAATATCATTTTCCCATTATAATAAACAAATACAACAACAACAATAACAATGGAAAGAAAATTTTAATAAACACACAGAGACCAATCACAAACACATACACACACACTTGATTAATTAGTTTCTTGTAATAATAGATCAAATAAATGCAAATGCGAAAAAAAATTCAAAATCAATTGAAAAAAAAACACAAAAAATCATTTTCCAAGAAATTATAATTGAAACACACATCATATTCAATTATTATTTTATTGTGAAAAGAAAATTGAAATTTCAAAAAATAAAATTTGATGCTAAATAATGAATGAATGAATGATTTGTCGATTCTGGTTTTGTTGTTATTGTGTTATTCTCAATATCATCATGATTGAATTTTTTTTTTTTTTTTTTTGATTTCAAAACAATCATCATCAATTGAATTTCAATTATTCATTCATTGCACGAACAACCGACAACAAATAACAATGGCTAAAAAGATCACCAATCACCATTTCGATCAATATAATGTCAATGTTTACAATTCTCGTTGACGATGATGATGATGGATCAAATGACAAACAAACGACAAAATCAAACAAAAGAAAATCTCGTTTCGAGTATTGCTTCAAGGCAATATAAATATCAAACACAATTGTAATATCAATAATATTATATTCTGGTCCATTCAATCAGATAAATGAAATCAACCAACAGATTTTAATCGAAAATTATCGTTTATTATAATCATTTGTTTTTTTTACATGAAAAATTTCAAAATCAAAAAAAAAAAAAAAATGGAAATTATTCGAATGCTTTTTTCCTGGAAAATTTACATCCACATCATCATAGTTCCAATAAAATATCCTTATGAAGGTTATTTTATTGGAACTATGAAGGTCTAAAAGCTCGTGATGTTTTTGTGATGTTATTAATCCGATTTCGAATGGAACAACAAGGGGTCATCACAGAATCCGTTATAAATCCGATCATTGGAGTTTTTTTTTTGTTTTAGATTTAATCAACAACAAATTTACACATAAGAGATTCGTGTGTTCATGACACTTATCATCATTGATGATTGTAATTTTTTGCTTGAATAAAAAAAAATTTACATATGAAAATAAAACTTATGTTTTTTATGCAAGGAAAACCTTTACATTATATACATTTCATTCGATAATAATTCGTGGATCTGGTCTATCAATAAAAATAAGAAAACAAACGGGAAAATAAATGAAGCCCAGATAATAAAAAAAAGATTGAAGTTCATCATCATTCGATTGTATAATTTAATTTTGTTATCATTGGAGTTTCTATTATTATTTTTTGTTTTTTTTCTTGATGTTATAATATAAATATTTTTGACAAAGACGACTGATGGATAAAAAAAACGATCAATGGAAATTGAATGAAACACATATATGCATTCAGACATGAATTATAATTCAATTAATCCATCTTAATGCTGTTTTTTTTAGTAAAATTCATTTTTTCTTGATACAAGTTTCAATCCAATTTTTCTCAATATTATCCAACATGAAGAGATAGATAGTAAAGAATTTGCTTTACGAAAATAGTTTTTTTTTTGGAATAGAATGCGCTCCCCTAAGTAATCCCTGAACAATTGATACAATTTTGATAATGAGGAAATTCTTTGAAATTATTCTTTCTAAAACAAACAAAATCTCATTAATTTCTTTACAAACAATACACGGGTAATAGTGTTTAATAATTAAAAATTTTTCCAATTTCTTCCATAGTTTTTCCTTTAGTTTCGGGTAAACAATAGGCGAATATGATACAAATAAAACTGATCGATGAGAATATCCAATATGTACCATATTCATTGAATATGATGAAAAATGATTGTGTTTCATTAACGACAATAAATGTGAAAATCCAAGAAAATATTGATGCTATGGATGAAATCAGCCAAACGGTTTGTGGTGGCGTTATTTCAGTAATTATAATCCAAGTGATTGGACCAACACCCAACGAAAATGAGCTGACAAATATGGACAGGCATATGATCGGTAGGTGAGAACTAGTCGGCTCGATCGATCCATCATAATCATGAGCTAATTCTGGATGTTTATAATAATAGAACCCTAATGCACCTATGCTTAAAGCCATTCCTAATGCCGAAAGCATAATCAAAATTCTTCTTCCGAATCGATCAATAGCAAAAGCGCCAACAATCGTAGCAAGTAGCATAAAAGCATTAGATATTAGTGTCGATTGTTTAGCAGTTAAATTGGAACCAGATCTGGCGAAAATATCGTTCATATAAAATTGAACACCATTGACACCGGAAAATTGTTGAAAAAACAATGCAAATATTGCAATCAACATCGGTTTATAAATATCAGGACGCTGAATCGAACGCATGGATAATTTGATTCGATTTTTCTTTGCCAAACGAACCTGCTGTGCAAATTCATAAAGATCACGAAGTTCGCCATGAATATCACTTTCTTTTGTTCGCAAACGACGAAGATTTTTTTCAGCCATAATTAAAGCTTCATTTGATACTGTTATGCGATTCATACACCATGTTGGTGTTTCGGGCATAAAATACATTGTTATCACTAATAAGGCTGCAGGTAATAATGCCCAAAATGCCAATTGATTCCAATGAAAATTAAAAATGTTGATAATATCCATAAAAACGATGCCGAGTACGACAAAAAACTTGGATTTTAAAAATAATTAAATGATTAGAACAAAAAGCATATGATCCAATGATAACTTACATTAAAACTCATCCCGATATGACCACGATCATTTGGTGTTGCGATTTCCGCAAGATATGTGGGAACAGTTGCAAGAGCAATACCGATACCTAATCCCGTTATTATACGTCCTGATAGAATGAGAAATGAACTACGTGCAAATCCAATACAAAGCCAACCAATACCAAACGGTAATCCTAATGACATTAATGTTTTTCGTCGTCCAAGAAGATCAATGAACAATCCTTTTTTTAAAAAAAGATGTGAGATTTTTAATTTAAATTTTTAAATGACATTAAAGAATTAAAATAATTACCACATAGAAGACCGCCAAAAATTGCACCAATAGATAGGATTGATGATATTAGACGTTTTTCCTTATTAGAAGGCAATAATGGTGTATGCCAGCCGCTGGAATCAGTATAATTTTCATTCATTTCCTCCATAGCAGGTGAATTCCATCCAAATGCACTGCCCAATGTAATCGAAGCCATATGAGCGCTTAATGTTGCACCATAAACTAGCCACGAAGATTGATAACGTGAATGGTCGCGCGATTCCAATCGATACAATTCATCATGAGGTTGAAATATTCGATCGAAATCAGCTAATGGAGGATTTAAACCAATGACATTTACAGTATGATCATTGGGATATTGCTGTAATATTTCGTTTTGTTTATGAGGATTCGGCGACATAATATCAAATGAAAATGAAATTGATTCACGCTACATATGATCATTAAATTTTTAAAAAACAACAATAAAATTTAATTTTTGTATCTCATAGTTTTTCTAAAAAAATAAAAATTACATACTTGAAAAGATAAATTACCTTCCATCTGATCATAATAGCGATGATCATCATTGATAATTATTGATATCTCAATGATGATCATTGATGATTACAGTGCGAGATTGTTGCCTTAGAATCCTAAAATGCAAACGTCAATGGTAATAATTTGATTAAAGCCATCAAATCTACTTTGCCATGATTTGATTGGAATGGTTGTTTTTTTAAAAATTCATTTTCTAATTGTAAGATATCGATGTAGAAATCATTGATTTTTCCAAATGACTCTTATCATCACTACAAATTATGTTAAGTAGTGATGAAGTAAAAGTTCCACAATCTACTTCCTGTTCTTTCGAAATGACTCATATCAATAATTGGACATGTAGAAAACAGAAAGTCTATCTTATAATCATTCTTTTAAAATCGATATTTTGCAACAAGCCTAAACAAATCAAAATTCAATCAGGGAAGATTGATGGTACTTACATTTTACAACGTATTTTGTAATTAATTGAAAACACCATCTATAGTTTATTTCTACATCACTAGATGGCCATATTGTAGTCATTATTTTGGACAATTTTGCTCCAAAAAAAAAACTTTGTTTCAAACAATTAAATGAACAAATAAATGTTGATGATAATAATTGTTGTTGTTGTTATTATATTCGATTATTATCATCACACACGAATAAACAAAAACGTCGATCAATGATGATTTGGAACTAATTTCCGATGATGACGATGATGATGATAATGATGATAACTTTCACCGATCAATAATAGCTATTAGCTAGATTTTCAATTATCAATTCGATCTGTACAGAAAAAAAACCAAAATACCAAACCCGATAAAAAACGATAACATTTACGGTTTTAGGCTATGTGGTTTTCATCATTATCATGACCGTCAATGATGACATTTTCCATTTTCAACTTATAAGAAATTTGCCAGATGTGTGAGTGTGTGTTGATAATGATTTCAAAAAAAGATCAATTTTTGTTATTTTGTTTCCATTGGACTCTTTCTTTTCTTGACCGACGAAATAAATATTTTTGGTTCGAAACCAAACAAAAAAAAAAACCATATCCAGATCAAAAAAAAAATTGCACTGAAAAATATTCTCTTGGAACAAAGATTGACAAAAATCGAATGTTTTGTCAAAACCAAAACATTCGATTGGTGGCGCCACATATGTAGGAATAGAGGAAATTAATTTATCGAATGTTTGAAGAAATTTTTTTTTTTGTGATAATTTTTGGGAAATTTCTTTTGATCATCATCATCATGGTTAATTATAAATCTTGGAGGAATGAAGAACTGAAAACTATGAAGACGACGACAACAACGACAACGATAATAATAATAAAATGTCACCATGTTACTACCATTATTCTGTGATTATTTTTTTTCAATGTCCATAATTGCTGTCAATTCCATTCCGATTTTATCGAAATTTGCCATTTGCCATTAAAGATTTTGTTGTTTGTTTGTTTGCTTGTTTCATCCATACACTGATTTGTTGTTGTTATTATTTTGCTTTTAGCTCCAACAACAACGATGAAGAATGAAAAAAAAGAAAAATAAATAAATAAAAATAATCAATCCACCAAACAACAACAACCACCAATCGAGCATCAAATCTATCAACAACAAAAAAAGAAAAGAAAAGAAATTCGAGTTAGAATTACCAGTTTCCAGTTGAATATTACATTTTTTTTTTTCACTTTCTCTCTCTCTCTCTCTCTCTCTCTAATTCATAATCCATTCCACCAAAGAAAGAAAAAGAAAGATTTTGTTCGTTTTCATCATAACCGGAATTAGGCAATGAAATTGTTGTTGTTGTTGTTGTTTCTATGTGTGTGTGTGTGTTTTGTTAAATTCCATTTCCATTTTCATCTCCAATCCACACTGAATATTCCTGGTAAATAAAGAGAGAGAGAGAAAGTGAAAAAAAACAAATTGACTTATCAGAATGATTATATTGTTTTGTTTTCATATTTGAACATTTTTTTTATATCGAAATAGAATCTCTTTATTTTTCTATTCCGATATATTTGATTTATGAAATGTTGTTGTTGTTGTTGTTGATCGAATAAGAAACAAATATTGATAACGGAAATATAACAAACATCAAACATCATCAAACAACAACAACAACAAAACCAAAATGAATTTATCATTTGATTCATCAATTTTTTCTGATTATTAGCCATCATCATCATTATCATTATTAAAAAAAAGTTATTGACAACTTGTCAATAACTTAATGGTTTGATTTTGGACCCAAATTTTACACGCAAACCATCATTATTCATTCAATATGGCCAATTTTCAACATTCATTTTATTTTTTTTTTCGGTTATATCAGATGTTTTATCAGGCTAAAAAATGAAATATATATGCGAAGTGAAAACAAAAAATTCATTCATCTTGAAAACATTAAGAATATTCCAAAACAAAACGACAAAATATTCTTATTGCGTGTACATTTGCTTGATGATCACAACGATGATGATGATGATAATAGTCAATCTGTGAAACAAAAAACAAAAAAAGTTTCAAAATGAAAAAAATTTCATTTCATTTTCATTCTTTTTCCCCTTCATCTCTATATATCTTCTTTTTTTATTATATTCATTTATTTATCCATCTTGTTGTCATTGTTGTTGTTGTTTGGAAAAAGTTTAATTTTCAAAATTGAACATCTCCGAAAACAAAAATATCATCATCATCATCATCGTTGAATGGCAAGGCCTTTTGCCGTTGCTGTTGTTGTTGTTGTTGATAACGATGTGATGACATTCAATTCATTTATTCAGTTTTTTTTCTCTCTTTCTCTTACAGAATTCATTCATTCTTCATTCATAATAAGATTCAAACATCATGATGTTGATGATGATCGTTGTCGTCGAAGACACTAAGATAAAGATAGAAAAAAAAATTTTCTTAGTTGCTTTTTTTAGCATGATGATCTTTATATTTTAACGGGGGTTTTTCTTCTTTTTCTTTTCGTTTTGGCTGTTGGTGGATATAGCCAAGCTGTTGTTTGTCTGGCATCATCATCAACAAAACAAAAACAGCATTAGAAACAATGTTTTGGATAATGTGTCAAAACATTTGGATCAATTTTTTGTTGTTGTTGTTGTTGCTTGATGCTATGTATGTGTGTGTTGGGATATTTGGGTTGAGATCTGGTTTTTTTCTTTTTCCATCAAAAATCTTTATCTGCTGTTGTTTTTTTTCATAAATATGAATATTCAATTGACAGTTTCTTCAAGTTTTAGTATTTTTTTTTTGTTCATTTCATTTTTCATTGTTGATTGATGCCTAGAGGATGTGTATGAATGATGAATTCATTTTTAGAAAAAGAATTTGATTAATAAATTCTTATTGAAGTATCAATCAAATAAAATGAAGAATATTCTATAGAATTCTTTCTTTTAGCTAATCTTACAACAGCGTTTTGTTTATTTGCAGAATAAATAATGTTTGAAACTTTTAAATTTGAAACATCATCATCATCAGTAAATAAAATGTACAGTTTCGGTATCGATTCATAAATAATGATCATTTTAGATCGATTTTCTGTTGTTCTTGTTAGCATTCGAAAAATTTTATTTTTATTTTTTGAGAAAAAACAAAAAACAAAAACATGATGATGACAAATTGTTGACACTATCAAATTGTTTCAGCACCAAAGAATTATCATTATTATTTTGTTCGATTCTATTTTAACAATCCGGATTCGATCGGGTACAATTTGGCTATGAGCAATGAGCAATTCGAATAATTGAAATTATCGACAAAAAAAAAATAGTGAATGGGGTGTTTGGGAATTTGTCAAAACAAAAAACAAAAAAGTTTGTCATTAAAATCATTCACATGATTATAAAATCTATGGAAAGACAAAGATTTGTTTTTTGTTTTTTTTGTTGTTCCAGTTGTTTCTATCGATCCGTTTATATAATCAATGTTTTGGTTTGTTTGTTGAAGTTTATCATTTCGGAAATTATTATCATTTTTGGTAATTTGAATTTCTTGGAAAATCTTCCCCTCAAAAAACAAAAAATGTTAAACAATCATTTGTAGACTATCGCGATAGTTCGATATATCGTTTGTTTTTCTGTTGTTCGATTGTATTCGATTTCCGATATTTTTTGTTTTGTTGTTGTTTGTTTTGCTTACATTGGATGTTCTTGTTTGGTGCCATTTAAATTGTGTACCACAATTCAACGATACAACAACCATTTGATAAAAAAAAGAGCCTCAAGAGATAAATTCTTCTTTTTTTTCTATACATATGAATTTTGATAAAATATAATACCAAATTTTTGTTTTCTCACTTTGTTTTATCAGCCATTGATCGATCAGCTATTGATTGGTAATATTATTTTGAAAACATATACTGTATATATTGGTTTAATTCTTTATTATTTTTTCACATACAGGAAAAAAACAAAAACAAAAACCGAATATCCACTGAAAATTATGATCTTTCTGGCTTGGACATTAACAACAACAACAAAAAAACAGTGTACATTTTCTTTTGAACGACGACAACAAAATAAGAATCGTATGGTTTTTTCTAAGATTGCAATAATAATAACCGAAGACAAGCATGGTTTCTCAATCGAAACGGTTATACGATGATGATCCACGACTATATCCACCCCCACATACAACTATTACATACAAAAAATTATTTCAGTATTTACCGAAAAAGAATAAAAATCAACTATGCAACAACCAACAACCAACCAAACAGAATATTATTGATCCATTCTGGTCTGTTTTATACAGACAGACACAAATAATTATTATCATTTTGTCTCACACCCAAAGAAAAGAAAAATGTTATTGGAATTTTTGTTTTCTATTACAATCACCACCATTCATGGCATTCGTGTGATATTCATCGACTGAAAACACATTTCCGATAATGATAATAATTTATACCAAAAAAATAAACAACAACAGTTTGTGTCATAAATGAATCAAATACCAAAAAACTAAATCTTTCAAACCATTCAGTAAGCAAATATAAGCGATCCAAAGACGAAAAATTCATTCAACCAATTCATTTCTCAACAATTTGATGATGTTATCCAAAACTTTGTACTTTTATTTGA